GACTAGTGGAGTACAACATGGATCAGTGCTTGGATCCCAGCTATTCACAATATACATCAAGATTTAGATGAGGTAATTAAATGTAATATTTCCAAGTTTGCTGATGACAGAAAAAAACTACATGTGATTATGTCTGGTAAGAAGGGTGATGTAAAGAGGTTTCAAATTGATTTTAAACAAGTTGAGTGAGTGGGCAGATAGGTGGCAGGTGCCACATGACTTGGACAAAGCAGGAGATAGGCACAAGGTAATGATGCTCATTTGAAGAGCCGGTGCAGGCATGATTGGCCAAATAACCGCCTTCTGTGCCATGACACTTCTAAGATTCTGTAAAATGTGAAGTTATCTGCCTCGGTTGGAGAAAACAGAATGGCAGAACATTATTTCAATGATTGTTTGGGAAAGGTTGATGTACAAAGGAATATGGGTGACCTTTGTACGACAGTCACTGAAAGCAAGTGTGCAAGTACAGCAACCTGTTAGGAAGGCAAGTGGTATGTTGGCCTTTATGCAAGAGGCATTGAGTACAGGAGCCAGGAGTTTCAAAGGTGAAATCAAGGTAGATTGGTACCTGAATCAATGAGTACCCATGCAGTCGAGGTGGCTGTTTCTAGCCAAGCTGTTCCAGTACAGTGCTTACGTTACTCCAAACATTCTTCAACTGTATAGGGTCTTAGTGAGACCACACCTGGAGTATTGTGTGTTGTTTTAGTCTCCTTACCTAATAAAAGATATACTTGCAATAGAGAAAGTGCAGCAAAAGCTCACCAGACTGATTCCTGTGCATAAGACGAAAGGTTGGGTCAGCTAGGCCAACACTCACTAGAGCTTAGAAGAATGAGATGAGCTTTTGTTGAAACATTTAAAATTCTGACAGTCACACTGGATGTAGGGATGATGGTTCCCCTGATGATGTGATTCCTAGAAAATGTGCTCGCAGTTTCAGGATACAGGGTAGGGGATTTAGAATGAGATTAGGAGAAATTTCTTCACCCACAGGGTGGTAAACCTGTGGAATTCTCTACCACATAAGGCCATGAAGATCAAGTCACTGAATGTATTTAAGAAAGAAATAGATTTCTAGACATTGAAGGCATCAAGAGTTATGGGGAGAGAGCGAGAGTATGACATTGAGGTAGATGATCAGCCGTGATCATATTGAGTAACAGCAGGCTCAATGAGTCAAATGGTCTACACCTGCTCCTACTTTCTATATTTAGAATGTTCTGCAAGCAGCCAGTCTCTTGACATTATGATGCAAAGGTAATTTATTGATGAAGTAGCCAAAAATATTTAGGCATGGGAGACTTTCCTGATAAACTCCTGCAGCAGTGCTTTGTGGCTGTTGTGACTGATGTCAAACAATGACAACCATCTTTCTGTGGTGTTAAGAGCTGGCTGCAGCCATTGAAGGCATTTCTCTTTAACTCCCATTATTGCCATATTCATTCAAATGTGACTTTAATGTGGAGGGAAAGCTAACCTCACTTCTTTACTGGCAGCCAACTTATATGCAAGTGAGGATCAGATCCATGAAGATTCTATGCAGTTCTGGTGAAATGCAAGTTGAGCATTGATGAATGGGTGTTGCTTGTTGATGCCATGGAGTTGGATAGGGCAGTAATTGACTGGGTTAACTTTCCCCTTATGTTGTGGATAGAATGAACCAGAGCAATCATCCATATTATTAGGTAGATGCCAGCATAAGTACTGTACGAGAACAGCTTGGCTAGAAATAGCCACTGCTCCTGCATGGGTATTCATTGATTCAGGCACCAATCTACCTTGATTCCATACTTGAAACTCAGCAGGAGAAACAGTGCTATTCTTGCTCTTGACTTCAACATGCTGCCTTTGACACACTGAGCTATAGTAGCATCTTTCCATTCTGATGCAGCTGTGATTAAGTGCCAATGCCACCACCTCCTTAACATTGGTTCTAACACCAGCAAAGATCAGATAGACTTCAGTATCTCTATAGATTTGCACTTTCTTCTCTAATCCAGTCGTCCAAAGCCAGGAGCTTATATGATTTTTGAAGTTGATTTCCCATTTCTCAAGGAACTATGGAGGAAAATTTTACCCATGTAGGTCTCCATGTAAGAAGCTCTGGACCATGCAATTTCTTTGCTCATAACAGCATATTTCTGTGAGGAGGATGCTAAGAAACTGCAGGGTGACTTGGACAGAGTGGTTGAGTGGGCAAATACTTGGCAAATGCAAAATAATATGGATAAACATGAGATTATCCACTTTGGTCACAAAAACAGGAAGGCAGTTTAGGAAAAGGTGAGGTGCAACGAGACCTGGGTGTGATGGTGGAACAGTCACTGAAGGTTGGCATGCAGGTGCAGCAGGCCGTGAGAAAAGCTGATGGCACGCTGGCCTTCATAGTGAGGGATTTGAGTATAGGAGTAAGAATGTCTTGCTGCAGTTATACAGGACCTCGGTGAGGCCACACCTTGAGTATTCTGTGCAGTTTTGGTCTCCTAGTCTGAGGAAGGACATTCTTGCTATTGAGGGAGTCCAGCGAAGGTTCACCAGGCTGATTCCCGGGATGGCAGGACTGACATTTGAAGAAAGATTGGATCGACTGGGCTTGTACTCACTGGAATTTAGAAGAATATGGGGGGGGATCTCAAAGAAACCTATAAAATCCTGATAGGACTGGACAGGCTAGATGCAGGAAGAATGTTCCTGATGTTGGGAATGTCTAGAACTAGGAGTCACAGTCTAAGAATATGGGATAAGCCATTCAGGACTGAGATGAGGAAGAATTTCTTCGTTTCAGTGAACCTGTGGAATTCTCTCCCACAGAAAGCTGTTGGGGCCAGTTTGTTAGATATATTCAAGAGGGAGCTGGATGTGGCCCTTGTGGCTAAAGGGATCAAGGGGTATGGGGAGAGGGCGGGAATGGGAAACTGGGATTGTATGATCAGCCATGATCATATTGAATGGTCTACTCCTGCACCTATTTTCTATGTTTCCTTGATCTCTACTGATTAAAAACTCAAATGGGTGAGCTTATTCATTATTGTTCTCCATCAGGTATACATATCTGTAGGTCAGACCATTACAGATCTTCAGTTGTTGTCACCAATGTAATCTGTATGCAGGTAGCTGTAAACCAGCCATTCTAGCATAGTTTGTGACTAAGTTGCCTTAAATTAAAAACAAAATAAAATTGCTACTTATCTAGAAAGCTGTGGGTTAATTAAGGGCAGCCAGCCCTTTAATTAAAATGGATTTGTTAAAAGGCAGTATGTGACAGACATATTTAATGGAGTCCTAGGAGAAAATCATGATGTATACAGACAAAGGAATTGCATGGGGTTGTGTATATGGATTTCCAGAGGACATTTGATAAAGTACCATGTGAAAGATATTATCTACAATGAAAGCTCATGATGTTATTGCGACTGTGAATGGATCAGCATGGATCAGATGTTAGTTGAACAGTAGACAGTATGTACTGGTTAATGGATTTTTGTTTTGCGCAAGGCGGGGGTAAACTGTGATGTCTGCCAGTGATCAGTGGTGGGCCCATTGCTCTTTTTAGTATTGTAAATAATTTGAAGTTAGAGGCACAATGTTGGTATTTTCAAGTGGCACAAAAATAGTCACTGTGCTTAATAAAGGGGATAGTTTCTGACCTCAGGAGAATGTGAATAGGTTAGTAGATTGTACAGGAAGTAAAGGTTGATGGTGTGTAAGTTATTTTCATGCATTTATACTTCCAGATAGGAGTCAAAGGATTTTGCAGGTCATACCTATAGGAGGCATGAATTATTCATACAGATTACTACCACTTGGCTTAACCTTTGCAGCCACGGTATTCTCAGGAGGACTTTTGTTTTACTGAAGCAGAAAATCTGTCTTTACCTGGATAACTGGTACAAATGGGTTCATATACATCAACCAAAGGGATGTCTAAGCAGATCCTAATGTTCTTGGAAATAATTAGGTCTGTGTGGAAACAGAAGTTGCCTTGTGGCTTTGTGTTGTGGAACAGTCTTAAAAGGATAGTATCACTTGATAATTTGAATTTGTTTTGCCCTAATGGAATGAAGAAGTTTCTGTTCTTGTTTGCTTTAATTATGTTCAATCTCCAAGTGCAATGAGGATGACACTCCCTATAGTAGGTAATCCAACATTCTCCTCATACAATCACCACCTTAGAATCATGTAGATAACAGTGGATTTCACACTCTCAAAGTTTTAAAATTGAAATTTGTTGCACGTCTTCTCGATTTCAGTTAATGTTTTGATTTAAGGAACCTCTAGATTGCTCCCCACTATTTAAAACACACGAGAAGTTGTAATTTATACATTAGAGATCATTGTGTATGCTAACAATGGAAGGGATATGGTCAGTCTCAGAAGAGATTCATGTGTATAAATTGGCTGTATGTACAGTTTACATCTCACCAAGAAGATGCACTCTATATAAGAGAGCAAATGGGTTATTGTTATACAATTGCATTTTACAAAAATGATTGTATTCATAATTTTTATAGTAGTTTTTTTCATTTTGAATATCTTTGTGTTGCAAACCAACTCAAAGTGGTTACACATAAGGCTGTTTAGTGGAGGGGTATCAGTTTGATTCAGCCCTAATGCACTGAATTCCTAATCTCAACCAAAATGCTGTCTCAGCATCAGATGGAGGCCTACGGGGAAGAGGGAAAATCAGAATGGGAGTCATTACAGCACTGTCATTCATTGCCCAGCAGTTGGCTGAAGAACGACATTGGCAGAGACCGATTGCCCCCTTGAATGCAATATGTGCAGAAAGATTAAAGGGGACTGGGGATGGGACACAGGAGCAATTTATGCCCTCATTTAAAAGAGAAAAGCAAATGTTGGTTTGACAAAGATCAAAATTGCTGTAGAATGTCTGTCTAAAGTTTTTTTGTGTTTATTGTGCAGTGATGATGATGATGACATTAACCCTGTGTTTCTTTTTTCCAATACTTTCTCTGTGTTGTTGGCTTTCTTAGCCCTTGCCATCTCTGCAGCCCTCTGCACAGCCTATCCAGTATTCTGCGACCTCTTGCCCCCAAGTTCTCCTGCCAGTCTCGCCTCCCCAGCAATACACTATGGTACATGTTATCAGTTCTGTATGTTTAGTTCTGCCTGTGTACGTCAATAGTTTTACATGTTTGTCTGTGCTACCCTCAAGTCTTTTACAGAAGTAGTATTAAGTTTGGATATATAAAGGATACCAGTGGATCACAAGAGAGTCCTTGAATTTATAGTAGTTAGTAACATCTGCTCAAAGTGAGAAACAGAAACACAAGGGTACAGGAGTATTAGAGCTTCCCCAGCGAATCATGATTTTTGTTTTTCATGCTGTTTGTTTTTAATGGGAAAAAGAAGTACCCATGTAAACTGCCTCTACAATGAATCAATTCTTGCCTTCAACACAGAATGTGAGAGAAGTTTACACATGAAAATTCAAATGCCTTCTGCCTGTACAACATGTCTAACAGGATGTGTTTGCCAACTGAGCTACATTATTAATGTATGGCAGATGGACCTTTCTGTGCTTTTTTTCCCTCTTCCTTTCTTCATCTGCCCTTTATCCCAAAATTAAACCTCCATTAACAAATGATTAATATTATAAACTTCACATAAATAAGATCATTGGACAAACAGTCTCCACTGTGGAAATGAGTGTACCTGTAATCCTAGCTTTATAATTCACAGACGTACTCAGATAGCCTTTTCCTACTGGCCCATTGGATAAGTGCACTTTCCAGTACTCTACTGAGGCACACAGACATGGAAGGTCTCTGGTTCAATTCCTGCTCTAAGCTAAAATAACTGATCTCAAAAAAGGCAGCTGTGGAGGTGCTTGGGATTGCAACATCCCTGTAACTTGAAAGGGAAGAAACAAGCAACCAGATTTCCTTTCCTGGCTTTTTATGATTCAGTGACTCTGGTTGAAAAGTGTGTGGTTGTTCAGTGAGGATTGGATTGCATGTAACTGCTTCCCTGGCTTCTCCTATCACTCCATCAGTTGGTTGTCCAAGATGCACTGTATAGTCTTATATGAAGATAGCCACTTCGATGAGGTCTTGGACTTTAACTTAACATGAGTCAACTTTCTCAGAAGTGGAGAGAAAGTGGGAGTGTTTCATTTGAAGTCGTTAACCTTGCGTAGGGTCTTGCATACCTGTCTTCTGTGGTGGTTTTTAATAACACCTTCTGTCTAACAATAATGCGCGGTATTTTTCAGTTCCTCAAAGTCGAAAATCAAATTGTCATTCAAATGCAAAAAAATGCATTTTCAGAATAAAACAAAATGTTAAAGCAGATTACGTGATTCAAGCAAAGTGATTGTGGACCCTTTTCAGAATCATGCTCCCAACAATCCAATAATTGTACTTATCACTGTGGGTGTGGGGGGAAAGTGTAACTGTGCTATGGGACCCTGTGGATGCATTTACCCTGTGGACACACATGTACAGAATTTAAAACTGAAAGTTGAAATATTATACTTACCTGAGGATCAGCAAGTTGATCAGTAATAGCACAGCCAAGTGCTGCTCGAGGGAAGACATTATCTATATATTCAGCTAATTTGGCATGTGTCAATAATGCAGTATTTCAAACCGACTTGCTATGCTTGTGCCCTGAATTCAGTAAGTTGCAATCAAGTGACCCATGTAAAGTTGGTTAGTGATTGCAGTTCTGTTTATTTAATGTAGTCTCATTCAGTCAAACCATTTGCAAGAGTGTAATCAGTGCATAGGTTGTTTTTACTTTTGAAGAGAAGTCCAAATATACGGGTAGGTAATGTATTGTGAAACTGTTACATGGGAAAGTAAATTAACTAATAGTACTTCACGTTCACAACCTAGGTTGGTTCAAAACCAGTCTAAATAGTATCTGTTTGCCTGTCGGAATCCTGTGCAAAATGAGTTCAGCAGTCTAAATCCTGCCTATACAACCTGTACTGCACCTAATTGGGCACAAAACTGCAGCCTTGCTTGGGTATTAGAATGGATATTGTTTGAAATATATGGAAAGTAGCACAGTAGGAGGTGCTCTGCTGGAATTGGTACTGATCTACAGAGCTGCCCTTTCCCTCGTGTAGGAGTGACACCAGGAACCACCTCCAGCATTAACATTCCGCATCTTGATAGGTACAGAGAAGAGGAAACTAACGATGACATTTCCTTACCAGTATGCTAGGTCATATGCAGCTTTCATTTTGAGATGTACCATATTCTGATCATTTATTCAACTGCAGATCATTTTTCAAGGAGTGATGCTAAATGCAAAAAAGAGAAAACAGAGAGTTCTTGTACCCTAGGAGAGCATCTTTGGGAGCTAGGTCTCCATGCATAATGTAATTGTGCAGGAATGAGCCTTATGCTAGGTTGGTTTGGGCAGTCTTTTTTTCCAGTTCTCAGAGTACAAAATTACCCCAATTATCACCATCCATACTTCCAGATATCATCCAAAGCCAGACCTGGGAATAAAATATAACACACTTGGGTGGTAGGGAGCACTATTCTGAGATTAGAGCTGGGGATGATGTTGGAACAAAATTGGTGGAAATTCTTCCACATCTAACCATAGTAAAGTGAACTTGGTTACCTCCCTTTAATGATATCTGTCCCTTCAGTAAGCAAAGAATAAAATCACAAACAAGTTTCAGTACTGTGAAAACGTGAAAAGTATAAATGTAACTTACAATTGATGCAATCACTCATCAGCATTGGCAACACTAGCTCACAGAGTCCCAACTGTGGAAGCAGACCATTCGGCCCATTGAGTCCATACCAACCCTCCGAAAAGCATCCCAACCCAATCCCTGTAACCCTGCATTTCCCGTGGCTAATCCATCTAGCCTGCACTTCCTTGATACTATGGACAATTTAGCACGGCCAATCCACCTAACCTGCACATGTTTGGAATGTGGGAGGAAACTGGAGCAAACCCACGCAGACACAGGGAGAATATGCAAACTCCATGTAGACAGTCGCCCAAGGGTGAAATCGAACCCAGGTCCTGGGCACTATGAAGCAGCAGTGCTAACCACTGAGCCACCGTGCTGCCCTAAGCTGACTGTGTGCATGGGATGAGTGCATCCTGACAACCTTGTACCAGTGATAACTCTTAGAATTGGATGTCTCATGATGCTGGGACTGGTATTGATGCAAGGACTGTAATCTTTCCATAACTTGTGGTACAAAAAAATTGAGCACATTGCATCCTCTCAAGACCCAATTCAGAAACTTGAAAAGTAGCTCTTGAAACATGATTGATCACTTGTTTAACAGAAAGGGGCTCAGTCATACTCAAAACAGAATGAGTAGAGAGCATTGACATCCAATAACAAAGCTAACTCCAAACATGAAAATTGCAATAAAGACACTTTGGTCAGTCAGTGTACGGAGTGATCCTTTGGTTATAGCCTAGTAATGATGAAGTAATTCTCTGTTGTTCCTTCTCTGCATTATGTAACCGTTAGTAGAATTATTACAGGCCGTAACACTGTCTATTCTCAGAAAACAAAAGTAATTTTCCTCGGCCTTATTTGAATCCGATCCTCACCTGATTTCTGTACGTGTGTGTTTCCAGCAACAATCACTCGACCAGGAACAGGAATTGTGGGCAATGGTTCTTCTTCCACCTTTATGCTTAGTGGTCAATTATAGTCACTTTGGCTATGATAACAAACTGCATAGACAAGAAAAGAAACTTTCTGCTCTATGACTGAGCTGTGTGCTAGATAAACTTGGTGAGTGAGAGTTTCTTCACAGCTATTAGCCTATTTATTAAACAGAGTTCTGAGATATTTTCTAATCAACCTGTTCAGAGCTGTTAATACACACTTCTGGAGCAGGTGGGACTTGAACACAGGCCTCCTAGTACAGGAGTAGGGACCCTATCACTGCAACACAAGAGCCCCTTTTTACTAAAGTTATATTGATTAACATGTTATGACACACATCCAGGGCAGGTGGGACTTGAACCCAGACCTCCTCTTTCAAAGATAAGTACATTACCACTGACTGCACCACAAGAACCCCTCCAAACAGTGTTCTGACAGCCAAAATGTTACACTAAGCACCTCTTGCTACAGCAGATTTCACATGATCCACATTGAGGGGAGCTGTGTCCTGCTGAATTGCTATAAAATGTGAAGTGTTTCAGGTATGGATAATTCCTTACCACAAAGTTTGTGGATGCCTGTTAAAGTCAATCTTCATTCCACGTGCTGTATGCTTTAGTAAAATCCAGTCTGCTAGAATCTGGCGAAACCACATGCTGAGCACAGATAGAAGTTGCCATGTCATTGTGAGTAGAAGGTTCTGGAAGTGATCTCCTATTTCTCGGATTCTCCTCATCTCTCAATTCATTTCTGCTCAGTAAAAAGTTCTTTGCTCATTGATTTGAACTGACAAAGATTGAGGTAAAGTCTCTGAAAGGGCTTGGGTTTGATTAGACAGATGTTAGAGAAATAAATATTGAAACAAGCAGCTATGTTTCATTTTAGTTAGGATAATAATGAGCACTTAATGGATTCTAATGGCATACTTCCATCTGATATGTAATGCGTTCATTTTAATAAGCCGATTCCTGTGATAAAATGACAAACCAATGTTATATGTGAAGGTGCTGAGAATTGTTTCACTAATATCGGTATCAATTTTAATTCAAATAAGGTAGAACAGGCATCCAGACGAAGAGACTTCATGCTGAATGTAAAATTCCGATCTTTACTAATGTGTGTAAGTTAGTTATGATGGTTGTGTTGTACACCGTTCAGCCCTGACCCATGAAATACACAATCTGCAAATGAAGCTTTTTTTTAATTCATTCATGGGATGTGGGCATCGCTGGCTAGGCAGCATTTATTACCCATCCCTAATTGCCCAGAGGGCAGTTGAGAGTCAACCACATTGCTGTGGGTCTGGAATCACATGTAGGCCAGATCAGGTGAGGATGGCAGATTTCCTTCCCTAAAGGACTTTAGTGAACCAGATGGGTTTTTCCCGACAATGGACAATGGATTCACGGTCATCATTAGATTTTTAATTCCAGATGTTTATTGAATTCAAATTCCACCATCTGCCATGGCTGGATTCGAACCCGGGTGCCCAGAACCTTATCTGGGTCTCTGGATTAACAACCAGCGATAATACCACTAGGCCATCACCTCCCACTGTTCCATAGTTAATGTCAACATGACTGCACCATTACAAGAGCACAGTCCTGCACATGCTGGAAACTGAAATAAAAACAGAAAATGCTGGAAATGCACAGCAGCATCTTTGGAGAGAGCACCATGTTGGTTTTCCTTTTGAAATGTCATAATGTGAATCATTAGCTCTGTTTCAAAAGTTCCATAAATGTTGCCAGACCCACTGAATGTTTCCAACATTTTCAGTTTTTATCTCTACCATTGTCTGCCAGATAAATTTAGCTTATGCCATTTTATACCCCATCTGATACTGATTCTTGAATAGAGTATAGCTAACTCAATACTACCCACTATGCACTGCCACTTAAGACATGCTTATCCATTCCAATACATGACAGTATACACTAGCAAATTCATGAATGCTTACACTTAGGCAAAATGCTTGTCACCCAAGTGCAATGAACAGCTTGCCAAAGTTATGGCCAATTCTTAAAAAGCACTTAATGGCTGCACCCTGTTTTCTGTTATTTGGAACAAGTGAAGCAAACACCATAAGCCTTAAGGTAAGCAGCCATGCCCCTTATGGATGTCACTGCATGCAATTATTTTTAATCAACCTGTTTGGACATGTTATGACACTCCTCTGGGGTAGGTGGGACTTGAACCCCCTTAAGCAGATGTGTTTTAAAAAAGCTTTTCAAAAAGGTGTTGACAGAAGAAAACAGGGAATTATAGACTAGTTAGCCTGATATCGGTTGTAGCAAAATGCTCGAGTCCATTACAAAAGATTTAATAGCAGAGCACATGGAAGACAATGACAGAATCAGACAATCAGCATGGATTTATGAAAGGGAAATATGTTTGACAAATCGACTGGAACTTTTCAAAGATGTGGCTGGTAGAGTTGATAAGGATGTGGTTTATTTGGACTTTCAGAAGGCTATTGATAAGGTCTCATTGTAAGGAATTAGTGTGTAAAATTAAAGTGCATGGGATTGGAGGCAGTGTGCCGACATGGATAGGGAACAGGTTGACAGACAGGTAACAAAGAGAAAGAATAAACAATTCTTTTTCTGAGTGGCATGTAGTTGCTAGTCAGGTTTCTCAGGGATCAGTATTTGGATTCTAGCTATTCACAATATATATTAATGATTTACATAATGGTATTCAATGTAGTTTCTCCAAGTTTGCAGACGGCACATAGTTGGATGGGAAGGTGAACTGTGCTTCAGTGTGGCTTGGACAGTATGTGTGAATGGGTAAATGCATGGCAGATACAGTATGATGTGGATAAATGTGAACTTATCTACTTTGGGAGCAAAAACAGTAAAGCGGATTATTATCTGAATGGTGTTAGATTGGGAAAGGAGGAGGTACAACAAGACCTGGGTGTCCTTGTACACCAGTCGCTGAAAGTAAACCTGCAGGGGCAGCAGGAGGTGAAGACGGTAAATGGGATGTTAGCCTTCATGGCTAGAGGATTCGATCAAGTACAGGAGCAGGGATGGCTTGCTGCAGTTGTACAGGTGAGACCACACCTGGAGCATTGTGTGCAGTTTTGGTCTGTTTATCGGAGGAAGGATATTATGGCTCTGGAGGGAGTGCAACAAACACCTACCAGACTGATGTCTTCACCCAGAGACTGGTGAGTCTGTGGATTCTCTGTCACAGAAAGTGGTTGAGGCTAAAATGTTAAACGTTTTCAACAAAGAGTTAGATATAGTTCTTAGGGCTAAAAGGATCGTGGGATATGGGGAGAACACAGGAACAGTGTACTGAGTTGGATGATGAGCCATGATCATATTGAATGACAAAGCAGGCTCGAAGGGCTGAATGGCCTACACCTACCATTTTCTGTATTTCTATGCTGTATATCAGCCCTTGAATTTGCTATGAACTCGAAATCATCAGTTAGTACCAGATATTTAGCAACTTTGGGTGACACACGAAGAATACTCTGGAAGCGAGCAACACTGAAGGTTTTTTTGTGTGACTAAGGAATTTCCCACCATCATAACCAAATGAACATTGATCTGCTGGCAAAGAGTCTGCCAATGGCTTATTGCATACAAACTGAACTGCTTCCAATGGATTAAAATTCTTCTGTAAGTACAGTGACCAGTACTGTACACATTATCCAGATGCACACTCACCTATGCCCTGTATAACTGAAGCGTAACCTTCCTATTTTTTGCATTCAATTCCCCACCCAAGAAAACATAACATTCTATTAGCTTTCCTGATTACTTGCTGTACCTGCATACTAACCTTTTGTGATTCATCCACTAGAGCACCCAGATCCCTCTGCATCTTGGAGCTCTGCAACCTTTCACCATTTAGTTTTTTTTCTTCCCTAATTTCCCACATGATGCTGTATTTGCCAAATCTTAGCCCACTCGTATAATCTACCTGTATCCCTTTGTCGGCTCCTTATATCCTCTTCACAGCTCATTTTTCTACTTATCTTTACGTCATCAGCAAATTTAACTACCCCACCTTGGTCCCTTCATCCAAATCATTTCTATAAATTGTAAAGAGTTGAGGCCCCAGCACCGGCTACTGTGGCACACCAGTGACATCCTGCCAGGATGAAGAAGACCCATTAATTCCAGTACTGAGGAAGTGAAACATTAGCTCTGATTTCTCTCCACAGATGCTGCCAGACTTGCTGAGCTTTTCCAGCAATTTCTGTTTTTCAGTCTCAAAGCAGGGATTCAAGGACAATTATTGAAAGTCATGGACTTCCAACTGCCATGGAAGATATTTCAGCCGTCATATCACCGTAGCGAAAGATCTGATATCTTTGATGCAGGATGGGCCATAAATCCCAGTGAAAGTTTATTTCAGAATATTAGATTTAATGGCAGTAGCTGTCTTTGTGACTCCAATATGCAACCGAGTGCAGTGGAAACTGCTTAACCAGAGGTCTCCAGCAAAGTTCACATTTCCGAATCAATAAAGCACTGTGCTTGCCACAGGAGAATAAGATATCACAAGATAGTTTCTTGTAACAACTGTACTGTAGTTGAGAAATATACCACTGCAACTGTTAATCTACTCAATTACCTCCTAAGCTCTCTCATGAAATGTTTCCCTCTGTTAAAGGGACTGTGTAAATATAAACTATTGTCTATTTTTTAACAACCACTATGGTCATTCCTGTGTATCAACTAGCAGAGGCCGCTTGTGTCTATTTCCTTGTTGGTTCCTCTTTGTTATTTGAAGTGATTAATGGAATAGTAGACCACTCTGATAAGTAGAAATTATATGCATTCCACTACTTTGCAGCGTTTTCGTGTGTGTTTTCAGCACGTGATCTCCCCACAGCTGAATTTTGTTCCTTTATTGTGTGAAAAGATGCAGGCCATTGAGGAATGCAAATGAGTTTGTATGTTGGTTAACTAATTGTACAGGGCTTTCTCCTGGCAAAATGAAGACCATTGCATTCACACTTCTGCTGTCATACAAGCACCTTACTGTGAATTCTGCAAAAAAAATCTGCATCTTGACTGCTCAGCGCACAAGGTCAATCGAGACACCAGAATTTGCAACAATCAGGTTTTAGTGAAGACATTTTGAGAAGAATAAGAGAACACCTGCACTAACTGGTCAGACTTCAAATAGAGTAGAGATCCTGCAAGGTTCATATGCACAGATCTGTAAAAGTGAGATAACAGGCTGATAAAGCTGTAAACACATGCATGCACACAAGGGTGATCCAAGGTTTTATAAGTGGGGTGAGTATGAAAACAAGACAGTAATGATAGATCTGTATTAGGATGTAGTTAAATTATTAGCAGACAATATCTAAATAATTCTTGTGATTTCCTGTTGTAGCTTTGGGAATAATTGGAGAGTCAGCATTAATGAGATATTTGCTGCTTCTCTGACGTTTCAGTCAAAGTTACAGCAGGAGATCAGAGGGCCCCTAAGTAAATTCCAAGTGATTGTGTTTGTTTGGGGTGCCCCACATTAAGATGGCTATCAAGATCTTTGAGTAGTTGCAGAAGACACTAACTGAGATGATACCAGGAATGAAAGGATTTAAGATATGAGCAGAGATTAGAGAAACTGTGACCCCTTTTAGTAGAACAGCTCAGGCAAAAAAGAGAAATTTGAATGTTCAAAATTATGAATAACTGACATAAATAGAGAAAAAAAAATTGGTGAGTCAGCAACCAGAGGACATAAATCTAAGATCATCACCAAAATAACAAGGGGAAAGCTAGGACACTTTTTCAAAAAGCAGTTGTTCAAAAATAGAATGCCAAACCAGAAGATGTGGTAAAAGTAGAATTCACATTAGCTTCTTGAGGGAAGTGAATCAGTCTTGAAAATAAATAAACAGTAGAAAGGGTGTATGGAAAGTGCAAAAGAATGTCATTAAGTGGATAGCTCTTCTTAGAAGTCCAGCCCATTGATGGGTTAAGTGGTCTTTGTTACATAACGTTCTGTTTCTGAGTACTTCTTCCCTTTCGTTGTCGACAGTATTCAGTTATCCCAGTGCTTATAAATGCAATATACGTCTGAACTAAAAACGTAATTTGTGTTCAAACTGAATAATGTAACTGTAGGGGTAACAAGCTATGTAGTTTATCCCTCCAGCATTGCCTTTATTATTCATGTATCATTTGTCGATGACAATTCTATTTTTGTCTTTCCATCAATGTGCGTACTTTGTGCAAAATTAAGAGGACCAACATAAATCAAAAATTAATTGTGTTTGACAGTTTACTGAATCAGTTCTATTGCTTGAATTGTGAAGATGAAGTTTGGGTAATTCTATTTTTATATGCAAACTAGCCTGAAGATCTTGGCAACCAGTTCGGGCAGATGACCCTCAGCCGCCAAGGTTCCACTGAAGCTCCCGAGACTACCTCTGCTGTATTTCAAGCCCCAGTGATATCCCAGCAGCCTGGCTACATCATAGCTTCGCCGGGGCAGTCTCTCTCTGCACCTCCCTACTCGGCATCTGGACATCCCACAGCTCAGCAGGTGCTTCAGCCTCAGGGTTACATACAGCCTCCTCAGCAGGTATTAATTAGTAGTTAAACAGAGTTTCCTGGTAGCTTTAGTGAATAAAAGTATTGTCTAGGGTGATACTGCAGCTGAACAGACCAAGAATGTTTGAGGTTCATTCTTCAGTTGCTAGTTGTGGCTGCAGAGGTGGTGCTCCAATGTGCCTCAGGTTTCCCTCGACTGCAGAGGGGAATATCAGCCAGAGTGCCTGCCCGTGGTCTTATTCTATGCCTGCTGTGGGAAATTGCATTTATATCATAATTGAATAAGAATAGAATTGGACTGGCTGTGATACTCTATCAGATCAAATAGTTGTCCAAAGCTTATGGCAAATCGTGTTCCTCCTGATGCACAAGAATGCTTCAAATGGTTTTTAAGTTATGTTAATCAACCTGTTTGACATATCTCCATGACGTGTGGGACTTGAACCCAAAACTTCAGGTCCATAGGAAGGGACACTGCGACTTTGCCACAAGAGACACTCATGGTTTTTAAAATAATTACCTTAATCGAGCCTGTTCTGGCCCTTATTCCTGGTAGGTTTGAATAAGCTTTCTCCTCCCCAGGTTAAAGTGGCAGATCAAGTGCCAGTTGTGTCATCAGAGCCTTATTTATAAATTTAAAACGAACTGGCCACATTTGAGCAGGTGACTGTGCCTCTTGCAATTTAAAATTGCAGATGGTCAAATAAGATGGCAAAGATCACCGGTTGATTTTAACTGCTTTCACCCTTCCTGGTTTTCACTATTCCAGTTGGAATCAAGGCCTGTGTTGTGGCAAAGTTATTATAGGTGCATATATATTGTCATTATTATGATGCTTTCACTTGTATTGTGCCACTTCATTAAACTCCGCTTGTTCACAGAATGTTTTTTGAAGTATCTTGGCAGGTAACTGTGTTGTATGTGTTGTTAGAAGATAACTATTCACCTCCAGGATCGGGGTTTAAATCCAACCTGGGATGATGGGATGAAATTCTTCTGTTTGTGCTGCATGTAAGGGTTCCATGCAGAATGAGTCTTTAAATTGAGAAGCCAAGGTGAAAGGCTAAAGCCAATAGTGCAGGACAACGTCAATGTTGAAAGCAACAACTTGCATTTATATAGTGCCTTTAAGTAGAGTTTTTCAAGCTGCTTCACAAGGCTAAACAACTTGACACAATTACATAAGGAGAGAGTAGGGAAGATAGGCATTCCTACGCTCTGGTGTACTCCTCCCTAGTTGACCTTAACTTTAAAAGGTTGTATTTGCATATGATGGATGGTGGCAACCTGTAGAAGATAGCAGAGCCCCTACCACAAACATCTCATTCCTTATGAGAAAACTGTTGTAGTTCTGTTTAGCAGGGGAAGCTAAAAGTCTCGCAGTTTGTGAAGATTGGAGGAAAGTACAGATTTTGTGGTATGTACCATATATTAAGATTTTCCTGTTACCCACCTACAGTTATTCTGCAAAATAGGATGATTATGACCATGTAGTGCCTAACTAGATAAATATGTAAATGATTTCATAATATGCCCTGTGTTCTCTTTACAGGGCAATGAATATCTACTCACTCTTTGGCTGAAAGTGGAGAGCATCACTCACCAAATAACAACCATTAGCATCTCTACTTGAACCAAACATGGGCACAAATGCACTCAGTATGGCAAAAACAGCTTGTTATACTGAAAAAGTACAGGGCAAGTCTCTGAGGAAATTTTAAAGAGGGGTGCCTGGATCAGGCCAAAGCCCCAGGATATACATGCTCCTCCCATATTGCATAGAGTTGCACACTTCAGTGGGGCTACTTTTACACAAAGACGGGTACACCACTAGACCCGTATCCTATTAAAAGATCATCTGCGAATTATGAATGAGTTCAACACCCAGATAATCAGTATTGTCTCCTTCTTCTCCATGGAACAGTAGTTGTGGGAACGAGAGTATCATTATGGAACACGTGAGGTTTGTTTGCATTGGTGGGCTCACTATATATGTGTTCGCTGTGGAGACATCTGTCATGAATACTCCCTCATCTCTCAGAACAGTCACGAAATGCAGCCAAGCCAGTTTCAATAAACTTGGAATCTGGATAAAAGTAGTCATTAAGGAGAGATTCGTGCACCCACAAATGCCCACTGATCTCTGCTCATAAAGAAGGCAGATGTCATAAGGAAATACCCTCCAGCCATGCCATGCATACACTACTACAGGAGAAGATTCTTTGCATTCATATCACTAACCATTCTGAACTTTCACATAGCCCTGCAAAAGTGAAAAAAAAAATTGATTCTGCAGCTACTGTAGTAGTTGAAGTGCACTGGCAGTGATGCAGGTTCAACAGAATTAGTCACCAATATGAATACCAGGCCTTCTGTACCACCAGTTGGTTATACAGCAACCCACCAGTGTCACTCTGCAACTGGGAGACTGTTTATTGGTTTGATACAAGCACAATCAGCATTAAGAATTTCACAACATACAAAGCAGAGACATTATATGAGCACATTAAACATAACACCACGTCAGAAAATAAAGTTGATTCACTTTTAAAGTATTATTCAGTTTGCATTTCTTCATTGTGCATGCAGAATATCACACAGCTCAAAGTAGGTACAGCGCAGCAGCCTGGATATGGTGGAGGAAGTATGCAAGGAGGTTCATGCAACAAAAATGCCAAAATAGCTCAATTCTGTGATGATCCTGTGGGTGCTAGGAAAGCCCCTATGATCGTAAAGTTCATGACAACAGTGACCTTTGCTGCTGCTGACACCGAATGACTTGTCCCTGTTGTGCAGTACAGGTGACTGACAGTCTTTATGGACCAGGTAGCATATCTCTTTCAGTGTTGGCAGTGACCCTGTAAGCTATTCTTTCATCCCAGGTTGCTGACTGTTTTTCCTGATGTTGTACCTCTGGGGAGTTGTGTATCATCTTAGATCTTTGTACTATGACTGCCTTCTCTTGCTTCACAACATATCTGCTGGTATTTGCTACACCCAGCACACACACAAAGTTTATTGTGCTGTACTGAGATTTTGAAACCTTAAAGTGAATAAAATAAAAGAATAAAGTACCCACTTTTAAATTTGATTGTGTAGCTCTAGGATGATGTACAAATTTGTTACTAGTAATGTAAAAGGCTTTAAGAAACAAAACATTTCTCCCGTTTTTAATTAATGTTTTTTCCGGTTTCAGAGCAACAATAAAGTTTAGCACATAAATCCTAAGTTTGCAGAGTCACATTGACAGGAGGGACGGATTTGAAGCTCATTGGAATGGTTTCAGTTGAGACTGCCCAAACCCTGTAACCCTCTACCAATGAGAGGAGCAAGGGCAATAGGAACATGGGAACACTATCACTTCCAAGTCACACATCATCTGGACTTGGAAATATATCACCTAACCTTCATCGTTGTGGGGTGAAAATCCTGGAATTCATTTCCTAGTAGCGCTGTGGGTGTACCTACTCCACATGGCTTACAGCTTCTTGCCTCTGTTTCCAAGACACCTGCTGTAAAGTTGTCCATTTGCTGGATCTTTCTTGCAGCAGTGAAGCTTTGATGTTGTCAGATCCCTCTAGGCCACACTCAGGAGATAATTGTCACAGCTGGCAATCTGTAGTGAATACTTGTATTAAACAAATGCCAAAATATTGTTTTTGTGACCACTGTACAGGGCTTTCATTAGATGGTAAGATTCTCTTGCTTAATGGATATATGTTGTATGGACACGAATGTTGCATATCAATTCCATGACCCTTATAAATAAAATTTGTATGTTTAATAGAATTTCATGTTTAGGTGGTGTCTGAGCATGGAAACATTATCATGCACATTTTACAGCTGACAGCCGTGATGGCTTCATTACACCAAATTGCACCAAATTGCAGAGTGCCTGTGTTCCACGGCAGGAATAACCTGGCTGGATGTCTCTTAACTTAGACTATCCTCTGCATCCGTCACAGCTGTTGCTGCTGGGAATTCTTCTCACAGTAGTGAAGTACCTCCACTTGTTTATGGTTCTTTGCTGCCTTTGAGAAAGTTGTGCTTTGCAGTGGAGTACGCAAAAGAGCAATTGTTGAGCTTAATGCTTCAAACAGTATGACAAAGCCAGTGTATAATGGATAGAGAGGTGTACAAGAAATGTGCACAAAAAAGAGAATGCATTTATGTCCACCATGCTGTGAACAAACCTTTTTTGCAACTGGATGCAAGATACCTGAATTCACTGCATCAATTCAATCATCAGCTAATAACCTGTACTTTTACTGTAGGGTTGCCTTCAACTTCAAATGTCATCCATAGCAAAGAGTGACGTGCTCCTCACAGGTTACTGCTTTGTCATTGTATACAATTATTCCATTTTTCATCCACTGCTATAACTTCCCCTTTCATTGAGACTGGCTGCCTCATTGGATATTACACATTGTGTCCAAATGTGGTGTTTTACAAACTTTTCCTGTTTGGAGCCTGTTCAAATTTAAAAAAGGGACTCCCATTGCAAGCTACCAGTGCAGGTGGAATTTTGGCTTCATGCGAAGTTGACTTCATCAGTAGTTTTACCAACAGTTCTCATTTTGTTTTACCTACTTATTTGGTACATTGAAGTGCGCTCAGTTTTTTTAAGGATTGAAAAAGAAAGATTTGTCATGTTTGAGCTGTTGGACTTGGAAGAAGTAGATGTTGTGAGCACTGCAGATGTGCAATGTGAAGTAAATTGTGAATGTAGAGTGGAATTATCAGCGAGGAGTAGATGAGGTTGATTGAGGAATTTAAAAGCTCACTGGTAGGAAAGAACAAGTCGGAGAAAGGCCAACAATCTGGACGGAGCCTGAGCAATGCACAAGATCCAAGCCGTTGACCATAGAACAAATAAAACTATTTAAAAATAAACCACATATCCATATATTACAGCTTTGTTAGGGTGGGAGTTTGGGGTGATGGAATATGATGATATTTTGTGCCAGAACCTATTCAAAGCTGAGGAGATATCTAATGCAATGACATGACACCAAAATATCCAAGAGAAAATTTCTGGAGGAGCACCAGATCACCTGTAGAAAAGGCCTTTTAAAAATTCAACTGTTGGTTGTGGATTAGACCAAAGTGTTTAAGGTGATTGTTGGAAATTCTCTTAATCCCAAAACACTCCTTACATAAATTGAAAAGAAAAACAATAACATTTCTTTAAAACCCAAAGCACATCAAAAACACCACTTGTGCAGTACTCATACTAGACCCCCTGTCTCTAACACCTTGATATGTTTAAGTCACTTTTGACTTGACTGGAACTGCAGACAGCTTCTCCCTGGAGTTATTTGTGCATTTGAATGCAATCAGCTTCTGGTAAAACATTCAAGGTTTTATGGCAACACTTCCGGTCTGGGACTGACACTAACTCTTTAAGTTTTCTAGTTTCACTATATTGGTTACTTCTCAGGAGCACTGGTTTTTACATGCATCTTCAGGGACTTCACAGGACTGCATAAAATTCAAAGTAAAACTAAAAAAAAAACTCTCTGATCTATGGACATTTCCATTGAGTTTAAAAAAAAACTTCTCATGAGTTTGTTTCAGTTGTAAAACACTATGGTGCGCACAAAGATCTATGAATTCTAAGGCTAGTCCTCAAAAATTGTTTTAAAGAAATAACCTTGGTTCCAGAAATACTTACAAGTTAATTATTATCTTCATACACACAGAAAACCCACCTTATTAACTCAAAAATGCAGACTTAAAATAAATGATATTAAATATGTATAAATCTCTCAGTCTACATCACAATATCATTACGTTGATTACAATATTTACAATTGCACAAGGATTTTGTGAGACCAAAAGTTCTTGTGATGCGCACTTAAAAGTTTACTAGACCTCTTCCAAAGAATGCTGATTTGAATCCTTGCTTGTGGGTAAATTAGATGAAAATGGTTTGAGTTTATTGTCCGGAAATAGCTATTTGTTGAATTTAGAGAATTTGATTGTAACCTGGAGTTTTATGAAGGAAAGTCGATCCATCATGCAATAACCACAGCTGTTCATTTTAAAGCTAAGAGATTTTTTTTTTAAACAAAGGTATTCAGGGATATGGGCCAAAGTCTAAAGGGGTTCAGCCACAGGTCTGTGATTTCATTAAATGGTGGAACAAGCTCAAGGGGCTGAATAGCCTACTCTTGTTCCTCTGTTCTTTTGATGGTATCTTCTAAAAGGTGATA